AAAATATAAATGAATGGACAAATTGGATTGAGGAGGCTATTATTAAACAACATATTAAATATTATGAGTATGAAAATTTTAAAAATGTTCAAGAAGTTGGTTCCGGAGCATTCGGAAAGGTTTTTCGTGCAAATTGGAAAAATTTTGGTCATTTAGCATTAAAATCATTTTATAATCTAAACGATATTACCTTAAAAGAAATTGTTAATGAAGTAATCAAATATTTTAATTTCATTTTTTTTTAAAAAAAAAATTATTTTTTCGTATACTCTTTTTCGTATTTATTTACTTATTTATTTTCTTAATTTTCTAATTATTATGCGTTTATAATCTAGCTTAAACTTCAACGAGAAGTAGATTTTCATGACAATATTATTCGCTTTTATGGAATCACAAAATTTGAATCAGGTATTTGTAAATATATAAATATCATCATAATAAATAAAATTATGTTTATTTATTTTTTTTTATTTATTTTTTTTTTTTTGTAAAAACTAATAATCGATTCTTTCTTTTTTATCAGAAAATAAAATTGACCAAACAAAGAATTATTTGTTAGTAATGGAATACGCTAACGGTGGTACCCTTCGTGACTATTTAAACGAAAACTTCAATAGACTTAGTTGGGATGATAGGTATAATTTAGCTCATCAATTAGCTTGTTCTGTATTATGTCTACATGATGAAGGGATCGTTCACCGAGATTTGGTATTTTTTTTATAAAGTATTTAAAATATTTTACGAACTAAATTAATATTATTTATATATTATAATAGCATTCTTGTAATGTGTTGGTTCATAAGAAATCCATCAAGTTGGCGGACTTTGGATTATCAAAAAGAATTGATGAAGCATCGAATTCACAATCAAAGTTACTTGGTATGGTTCCCTATATTGATCCGAAAGTATTAATGAATAGCAATAATTTAAAATTAAATGAGAAGAGCGATGTATATAGTATCGGCGTTTTATTATGGGAAATATCAAGTGGGAAACCACCATTTCATGAAGAGAAAAATAAGATCGGCTTAATCTATGACATTTCACAAGGACGAAGAGAAGAAATTATTCCTGATACTCCTAATGATTATTCAAATCTTTATATTGGTAAATGTTGTTTCATTATATTATTTGTTTTACTTATTAAAGTCATTATTTTAACCAAATTCTTTAATTATTAGAATGTTGGAATAATGAACCAAGTAAACGACCAAATATGCATGAGGTTGTTAATAGATTAGGAGTATTTATTCCAGATTCAAATAGCACAACAATTGATCAACAGAATGACATATCTGATCAAACTTATCCTACGCCAAATGAAAATCTAACTCCAAATAGTGCAGGAAATTCATCACATGGAGAATTATCCCAAATGATCCAAAATTTCACTAATATGAATACAAGTGAAATAGATAGTATGTCTACAAAAGAACAAATTAATGAAAATATTTCGTCTGAGAATTATTTTAGCATTGTGATTAACGAAATAGTTGATCTTATTTTTAAAGAAAACATTAAAGATAATAGGAATGTAAAACAGCATGTTATTGATTATTTGAATAATCATAATGTAAATTCAAAAGAAATTTATAATTGGTTATTAAATAATCAAAACAATTCAGAATCTATTTTTTTACTTGGTTATTTTAATTATGTGGGAATTGGATCAACCAAAGATGAAGAGAAAGCATTTAATTTATTTATTAATGCATCAAAACAGGATCATACATTAGCACAATATTGTGTTGGACTATGTTATCAATTTGGAAATGGAATTACAAAAAATGAAAAACTTGCATTTGAATATTATGAAAAAGTAGCTAATAAAGATTATGCAAATGGACAATTTAAATTAGGTTGGTTTTATAAAAATGGAGTAAGTGTCAATAAAGATTTAAAAATGGCTGTGTATTGGTATGAAAAAGCTGCAGATAATGGACATTTAAAAGCTATGCATAACCTTGGCCTCTCATATGAAAATGGAGATGGTGTTGATAAAAATAATCAAAAAGCTTTTGAATTATTCAAACAATCAGCTGAAGGAGGACATTCAGGTGGAATAATGATGTTAGCTTATTGTTATGGTAGTGGAATTGGAATTAATATTGATAGACAAAAAGCAGTTGAATTATATCAGAAAGCTGCAAATTTAGGAAGTAAGGTAGCTCAATATAATCTTGCAAACATGTATAAAGCAGGAGTTGGGATTGAAAAAGATTTAGATAAAGCAATTTATTGGTATGAACAATCAGCTAAACAAGGATATATAGATGCTCAAACTAGATTAAAAGAACTCAAGAAAAATTAGAATTCTAAACAAATTTATGATGTAAATTATTTAAGAAAAAATTTTTTTTTATTGTATTTATAATTGTACCATTACATAGGAAAATAAACACGGTAATTTTAAACATTAGTATTTTTTAAATTACGTAGTATTAAATTTTATAATATTAAATTGAATATAATAAATGTGTATTCTTGTTAAAGTTAAACGTTTAAAACTATTGTACTCCTCAAAAAAAAAAAAAAAATTGTTTAGCCTTAATTAAATATTAATTATTTTTTGTGAAAAACCTCTGATATCTTTACAAAATACCTTCATTACTTTTTAACTAAATAGCCGATTACATATCTTTAATATTCTTAAAAAATTCTTACATTACAATAATCACATTATCTTGAAATATAAAGATGTAAAGATAAAGCACCTAATGTGCAACAATAGCATTTCCCGAAATTCCAACTTTTTTACTTTGACTATTTTATTAGCGAATAATTCTACAGGACCATTTCAATAAGTAGAGTTTGGTTGAATTTTTTGGGTCAAAATTCATATATTATACCGTAATAGATTTAGTATTAATAATGACAATCAAGTATGATGTAAGCAACACGTAATTCAGTTAAATTCAATTTGTATGAAAAAAAAAAATCACGAGTAATTTTATTTTCAACAATGATAACTTTAACATATTAATTGTATTCGCAAAACTGCGAATTACAGCATAACCGATTATGACTTTGATGCATATTTATATTGAAAAGCAATTTAAAGTACATATAATAACATAAATTTTTGGTTTTAAATGACAATAATTTATCGGAATGAAATAATATAACAAAATAAATTTACTTTGAACAGCTTTTTTATAATGAATTATATATTGTATTGTGTTGTAAAAAGTTTATTAGTCAAAATTCTTTAACAATTTTTTAAAAATAAATATTTACGTGATGTCACAGTTACTGAATTTTTTCTGCTGCATGTTAATGTTCATTCTATAAACTTCCACGCAAGCCTCATGCAAATCGATAATTACACTGTGACTTTTTGTTTATTATAACTATTGTTTCAAGCAAAAAATTCTGTATATCAGGTTATCAATTACAATGAAAACTTTCGATAATATACTGTAACGTAAAAAATCTACATAATGTTAAATTTTTAAATAAACCATTTAATTTACCTTAACTGATTTGGAATTTAGTCCATTATTAAGATTTCACCAATAAATTCTGGTATAAGACAAAATTTTTAAATAATTTTAGGATGAGTTAAAAAGGAATTAACCTAGTAATGTATTGGTATGATACTTCACGTAAATAATTTAAATCTGTTTATTATGTACACGTGATGAAATTTTGTCGGATTTTTTCTAACGAAAAAGTTTAGTTTATTAATATTTCATCATGTGATCGGCCGTAGCAAGAACGGTGAAAAAATTTCGCTTTTTTTAAAACCGAAATCTTTTTTGTTTTTTTTCAGGTTCTTTTCTTTATTCGATTTTTCTTTTAATACAGTATTTCGATTTTTAATTTTTTTCCCTTTGTAACCTATATAGTAACTCTTTAAATTTGAATCATGATCGGATCGATAATGTAGTATTGCGAAAGCACCTTTTTACTAATATTTTATTTTTTCCTAATTTTATTTTGTTCTTTGCTTTAGGTTTGATCTGTCCAGTGTTGCGATGTAATCGAAATAATTTTTTCTTTTAAATGAATATATTTTATATAATTTTATTTATTTAATATAATAAAATTTTAATCAATTTTTATTTTTCATTCACATTATAATTATAAATAAATGAAAATTTTGAATTAACATTATGTAATAACCAATTTTCCTAAATATATATCAGAAATTACATCATGTTGATTAAATTCATTAATCCTGTTGAAACGCAACAGATTACAACTAATATATTATTAAAAATATTTTTAATAATATAATACTAGCAATATTAAATTAAATGAAAATATACTGTCACGTACTTTTTTTTTCAATTTACAATTCCAATTTTTAGATTATTTATATTTTAAATGGTTCGTGGTAGATTTTTTTCTCGTTCAGTATCTGTAATAAACCGTTATGATTATAATCATAACTATCACGGCGGCAACTATTACGGCGTACATAAACAAAGAAAATGAAAATAGGTTTAGATTAGAACGAATAAAATCAATGATTCCATTGTTATTTATTTAAATATAAACTTACCAGTATATTATATAAACTTATTAAAGCAAGAGAAAAATATCATCATGTACAAATATAAACATAAACAAAAAAGATTCTAAGAAATAATGACATATACGATTTCAAGATGTTCGAATAATATTTTGATTTTTAAACAATTAAATGTAAATACTATTAGCTACAATATAAAAAAAAAAAAAAAATTTTAAATTTTCCCAATAACGAATTCGATGTTATTAATGAAACTACTAAATATTGAAATAAATCTCGTTTAATGTAAATATATGATCGACACATACCTGCCTAATACGATAAAAATTTAAAAATTTCTTGGCATCATCTGCCTTAACGAACGATATGACGTAATCATTATTTTATGCTGCATAAGCGTGACTCAAAAAATTACACAAATTAAATTTTGTGAAATTTGTGCCACTAACACAAACTTGAATATTTATAAAATAGTACAAATTATTTTTTTCTTTATAAAGTTAATTTACACAGTAAAATAATTTTTTTTTTTATACTTAAATACTTAAACAAAACATAAAATGTCTAATACTGAACTTAAAGAAGTTATTGGTAATTCAAATGAATGGATTAATTGGATTGATGAATCTATTGAGAAAGAACAAATTAAATATTACGATTATAAATATTTTAATAATATTCAAGAAATTGGTTCTGAAAGTATTGGAAAGGTCTATCGCGCAAATTGGAAAAATTCTAATGATTATTTAACGTTAAAATCTTTTTTTAAATTTGATATCACGGCAAAGGAAATTGTTAATGAAGTAACTATAATATAAATATTTCTATCTTTATAATATGATAATGTACATTGCTTTTCTAATTACAATTTTTATTTGTTTTTTAGTTTAAACTTCAGCGTGAAGTGGATTTTCATGAAAATATAATTCATTTTTATGGTATTACAACAGGTACAGTATTACAAAAATATTATAATCATTATTTTATAAAGATGAATAAAATCTAAAATTATTATTTTTTTTTTTTCAAAAGAAAACCAAAGTGATAATTCAAAAAAATATTTGATAGTGATGGAATATACCGATAGTGGTACCCTTCGAAATTATTTAAGTGAACGTTTTGAAAATCTCACTTGGAATGATAAATTAAATCTGGCATTTCAATTAGCTGATGCTATATCATATTTACATGATAAAGAAATCATGCATCATGATTTGGTAGGTTATATACAGTACCTATTTACGACTTAATATATTACATTGTAAGATTATATACTTAATACAATTATTTATTTTATTTATTATATTTAATAATAGAATTCAAATAATATTTTAGTTCATAAGAATACAATCAAATTGGCTGACTTTGGATTGTCAAAAAGGATTAAAAAATTACTTAATCTAAACTTATTTGAAATGGTCGCCTACATTGATCCACAAATGTTTAATAGAAAAGATGACAGCAATAACCAAATACAAGTATATTCATTAAATAAAAAGAGCGACATATACAGTATTGGCGTACTTTTATGGGAAATATCTAGTGGACGACCACCTTTTTATAACAAACCAGATGTTGTTGATTTGGCTACAGAAATATTACAAGGTCTCAGAGAATCATCTGTTCCAAATACACCCAAAGATTATGTAAAAATATATACTGGTAAAATACAAATAAATTTAATTATGATTAATTATAATAGTATTATTATTATTTACAGATTTATTTTATTATATTTAGATTGTTGGAATAATGAACCGGATGATCGTCCAAATATCAACAAAGTTGTTACTAAATTAAACGTAATTATTTCTAATGTAGAAGATATTCAATTATCAAGTGAACTACTTAAATCAAATATTGAAGTACCTGAAAATACTATTATTAATGGGAAAATATCTCAAATTATTCAAAATTTTAATAAGATAAATGTAAAAGAAATAAAACCTTCAATTTCATCAAATTTAATTATAGATGATTTTGAATTAATAGTTATTGAGATGATTCTTCTTCTTGAAAATATAGTAATAGAAAGAAAAAAATATGAAATTATTATTTATCTTAATAATCATAATATAACTACAAAAGAAATTTATAATTGGTTATTAAATGATCAGAATAATTCAAATTCAATTTTTTTACTTGGAGTATTTAATCATTTTGGTATTGAAATTAATATTAATAATCAAAAAGCATTTGAATTATATCAAAATGCAGCAAATTTAGGAAATGTATTTGGAATAACTAGTTTAGGATATTGTTATAATAAAGGTGTTGGAACTAATATTGATGAACAAAAAGCATTTGAAATGTATCAAAAAGCTGCAAATTTAGGAAATCCACGTGGAATGAATAATTTAGGTACTTGTTATATAAATGGATTTGGTTCTATTATTGATAATAATAAGGCATTTAAATTATATGAAGAAGCTGCAAGTTTAGGAAATATACTTGGAATAAGTAATTTAGGTTATTGTTATGAAAATGGTATTGGAACTAATATTAATGAACAAAAAGCATTTGAATATTATCAAGAAGCAGCAAATTTAGGTGATAATGAAGCTCAATATTATCTTGCTTTAATGTATGAAAATGGTGAAGTGGTTAAAATGGATATAAATCAAGCAATTTATTGGTATAATAAATCTGCTGAACAAGGAGATCTAGATGCTCAAATTAAATTAAATGAATTATTACTAGATTTGTAAAATTTTTAAAAATTACAGGTTTATAATAAATTAAAAGATATTTAGCCATCTTGACAAATTATTATATCTGACATGATGTCTAGAAATCAACCGGTATGATGTCATCATGATTTCGATGGTTTGCGATTAGGATCCACTTTATTATTCTTCATATAATTTTTAAATTATAAAATTTTTTTTGAAAGTGTGGGCTGGAATTTTAGGTCGTTAATAGTTTAATACTATCTGGTTAAAAGTTGTTTGCTAACTTTTATATCTATAATTTATAATTATGAGTTTCCACGCTTTCTAAAAATCAACTCCACAGGTTTGGACAATTTTTTTGTAATAACATGATTTTTAACCCTTGGTTATTTATACTTATTAAACCGTATAAAAAAACCCTCTTTTTATTATATTTATAAAAAATTTGACCTTTTTCTTTATTAAAATAAAAAAAAAAACTTTTTATTAATTAATTAAAAAATTTAACAAATCAATGTAAAAACTTTATTGATCAGAGCCCTTAACCTGTTCGGAGCTCTACCGGATTTTTATAATAAAAAAAAGCATAAAAAAAAAAGTTTGTTACACGGAATAATTTAAATAAAATAGTAATATATTCAATAAAATTCTTTTGATAATTCTAATTTTTTTTTAAAGATCCACAATCTGTCATAAAATTCTTCCTATTTGATCGCTCAACGATAGTGGCACAAATGGTCGCATTGGTATAAGAACAAACTTTTTTATAATGTATAATTTCTAGATTGAATTATCAATGTATGGCCCGCCGTAAGCACGGAAAGGTTGATGAAAAATCATCATGGTGCATGATGATTTTTCACCATGTTGCATGATGGCTTTTCATCATGATTAATGATGACTTTTCACCATAATTTATGATGACTTTCACCATGTAACGAATAATTTTCATCATGTTTCCTAATACAGAATTGTTCAATATCCAAAAATAGCTTACCATGCCACTGGTTTTTTATATTGCAAATTTAGTAAATTTTAAGATTTTCTTTTACAAATTTGGAAATTTACCGATCCTTTTATGGAAAGCCGTCCTTGACAAAAGGTTGATGTCCAAACATCATGAAATATAATGTTTAGACATCATGATGGTATGTCTAGACATCATGTTTGTATGGAAAGCCGTCCTTGACAAAAGGTTGATATCCAAACATCATGAAATATAATAT